GGATTTGTCTTTTTCAGCCTGGGTAAGCATTTTACATTGGAAAACTGTCAGAAGAATAAAAATATCTATAAAATCTGAAATTATATTAAAAATCTAGAGGAATACATTCTTATGGATTCTTAGCAGAAATGCTTACTTTATCATAAGGAATAAAATATTAAAGGAAAAAAAATCCTTGCTTTTTAGCCTGACTTTGAGGTAACTAGACCTGAGTACAATGCTCCCAGCCAGCCTGATCCTTTGTTTTTTCCCTCTTCATTCACACATCACTCACTTTTTCTGTGGGCAGTATTTAAACTTTAAGGTCTTGTCTCTTCAGGGCAGAAGACCTTACATAAAGCAAAAACATGCAGCTCTAAAGGTAACATAATACTACCAATACTCTGCAAAAAAAGCTAGTTTTACATATTTTCATCTGTTTTCTTTAGGATGAGGAGGTGTCTGCAGTTGTTTCAAATGTCACCGTGCAGCTCTTTGGCAGGGTTTTTCTCATCCCCAGCTGCTGGGTTCACTGTTTTGCTGCTTACTTTGTTAACACTCTCAAAACTTGGGAGCCCTACTTTGTACCTAGACAGAGAATAAATCTAGCATTTCCCCAAGTGAAATGAGCCTCCAGCAAAGGGCGGGAGTGTGAACCGCTGATGGAGCCAGCACCACCAAGGCGGTGCCCCGAGGGCAGTGTGGGCAATGGAGCAGGGAAAGTTCTGGCAGCCACAGCCCACATCCACAAAGGTGCAGAATCCACAGCTCCAACCCCTTCCCAGGCAGGATGCACTGGTGGTTATAAACGCAGCTGAATCTTGGAAAACCTCAATTAGGATGTCAGGCCTCCTTGTACTGCTCGTGGACAGGCAGTTTTCTCCACAAGAAGTTCCAGAGTGTTTTTCTCTCTGTGCTTGCTGATTACATATAGAGCTTAGAGACACTAACTCCTAACCCTGGCACCATGAAGATCCTTTCAGATACCACTCAAGCATCAACACCAGGTGAATCCCTATCTGGTTCTAATCAGGAATTTATAATACACACTTATTTTTGCCCAGTCTGCAGTCTATTCTAAGGAGGCATTTCAGAGCACTGATGACTGCTGCAAGAAGTCCTGCCAGGTAAACAGTGTGACAGCTGGGAATAACATCTGCACTGAAATCTGATAATGTCTAGTTAAAGAAAAACAATAACTCACTCCAAGCTCTTTTAGAACAAAGCTGAATTGGACTACCTTCACTGCAAAGAACAAAATTTCTTGCTGCAATTAGCAATCCTCACATGGCAACACATGAGGCATCAAAGAACTCCACATACTGCTGGATCACTCCTTTGTCCACAAATGTACCACTTTTTTCATTTAAATTTCACTCCCTAGGTCCCAAATATCATTCTTCAAAGGAGTTCTGCAGTGTATGAAAAAGGATCTTATAGTACATGGGACTTCCCCAGCTTCCACAGGAATAAAGCAAGCAGTTGGATACATATCCAAGCACCTGGCTTCATTTAACCTTTACAGTTGACTTCTCTCTCCTTTATCCATCCCACCAACAGCACAGGTGCTCAGCTGCCCTCTTATCCTCTCAGCTTGCAAACTGACATAGATTTACTGATGTGGAGAGAAAAGTTGAACTTTTCATTTAAAAATTAAATAGTGGTCTTTCTGATGTAAATCTTAGTGGGTGGCTTAGTCCAGATGGATTGAAACTGTTCTTTTGCTACTTTTTGAACAATCTGAGCCCAAGGAAAGGCTATAAACTGCATTTTAATTCAGCTCAAATAACTACAAGTCACCCAACTATGACGAGGAGTAAGAGCTCTTTGTTAACGACTGACAGTGGGATGAACTAGAAGAAGGGCTGCAAAAATTTTGTCCTGTTCTGAACAGCCATCCCCATGTCCAGAATGCTGATGGAGAAGCAAAGAACCATTCACAGGAAGCAAAGACTGAAAGAGATCTTCTCAGTCTTTTTGTCAAGAGTTAGAAGATATTTATGTCTCTCTGTATGTCCTATCCTTTCCTTACACAAGGGAGAGAATAGAGACTGTGCTAAATAATATCTGCCTTAAATTCTTTTATTAATCCCTTTCTTTCTTCTACCTTTAGCTAAGAATTTGCAATTTGCCACCATGTCTTAAGGTTGATTAATATTGAGAGAGATTATATCAGATACATCTCTTTTAATACAAAATCAGTTATCTTACTAAGAAAAAAAATACCAATTTAGACTATATTAAACCACTTTTATAAACTTACATTGCAGTTTATCTCACTTTTGTTATTTACCATCATAATATTTTTTTACTCATGACTCAAAACCTGATGGAAAACTGTATTTTTTTTTCAGGTCAGACTAATGGGTCTGTAGCTCCCTAGAGCACATCCTCCCTCCCTCCTACACACACTCTCTCACTCTCCATTAGTACAGGTATTATGTTTGCTCATCTCCAGTCACCCAGAACGCCTCCATGACTTGACAGATTTATTACTGAGAGTTATGACTAGACCTGTGATTTCACATATCAGCACGTTTTTCAAGCATTCTGAGATGGCGCTGCTCCAGGTCCTCAGCAAAAGTCCTAACTCTGACTGTGGTCCTTTGCACTCCCACCACTCTGCTTCTGGTGCCTTGGTCAACATTGTCATCTACCAAAGTATTGCCAATTTCTAGGGCACACTTACAGGTCTTTAATCACTGCTGGGTTCTTGCTCATAGAGGCTTCCTGCTTCCTAACATCCTTTGCTGCAGCATTCTTAGCCCATCCTAACTGTGAGGTGAAGTTCCAGGGGAATGCAACATGACCAAGAATACTCTCCTGAGCTACCACAGGGACACATCTGGGAGCAGATCCAACAGTGTGAATTACTGCTTCACCACCTAAGGGAATCACAAAAGCAGCAACTTTTAGAAAGGAGCTATGAAGGGAATGTTCAAGTGATATCATACAGGAGACCACATTCCCAAGAAGCTGTGGAGAACAGAAAGCTTGAGGAATGCCTTTATCCTTTGATGTGATCATTATTTATAACAAATCTTTCTAAGCTCATGTCTATTTTTACCTTCTCTGTAAGTTAATGCTTCTTCCATAGAAAGGGATACTGTCACTAATACAGGTTAAAGTTTGCCTGCATAGCAAGTGAACTGATAGAGAAACTGAATATGTGACAAGAACTGTAATGCCAAAGACTCACCTGACAACAACATCATAGTCATCAATTTTTAACCCTAATGACTTATTTGCAAGGACTCCACCATTTCCCACAATAATACATCGCCGGCAGCTGAGACTGTGGAAGAAACAGAGAAGTGATTTTTGTAACAGAACTTCAAACACACAGAGAACACATGTTCAGTTTGCATGCATCTGAGAACTACAGGAAACCTCTGTAAATATTAATAATTAAGAGGGGGACAGAGATACACTTGATCCCCAGCTCACCTCGTCATGCCCAGGCATTACATGTGATAAACTGCTTTCAACACCTCACACCACGTGTGGCCTAATGAGATGAGCTGTCAGGACAAGCAGCTCCTCTCCCCCCACACCCCTGATATGATGGGCTTGAATCAAACCCATCTGTTTACTTGAACCACCTCATTATTCATTCAGCACTGAAATAACAATAAACCAAAGGCTTAGTGAGGAAGTCTTCTCTCCGAGCAATTTTGTGAGTGCAGGCAGATCTTGCCAGGTTATCTGGGGTGTGCTCACCTTGCTGAGAGAGCAAAATTGCTGCTGTTATCATGAGACTTCAAGAGACAGAAAAACATTAAATGGAGAGGAAAAAAAGACCCCCACCCCCCCATGCCTGTCCAGTAGGAAACGTATCTGGAGATATAATAGGTGAGGAAAGGGAAGGAAAATAACCTTCATTAACAAAGAAACCGGAAAGAGAAGGAAGAGAACAGTTTCTCGTGGAACCCCAAGTCACGAGAACTCTGCAGCAGATGTTAAAAAGTGATTTTGTTTTGAAGGCAGAGAGAGGACTTCTTTCCAGCCATCTAATCCCAAACGCAGCTGGCTCTTCTGGCAGTGTGCCTCCATCTCTGGTAGTTCACTGAAGGAATACGTGTCTGCAGAGCCTTTTTCGGAAAGGGTCCAAGGCAATCAGTTGTTTGGAGCAGATCCCTGAACTAGGCAGCCTTCCTAGTCCCAGGCACAGTCAACTGGTCGCTTCTAGGCTGTCCCCTCTGTGATAACTAAAGAGCCAGCATGGGGGAAGCTCTGCCTATGTGAGGTCCCTTTTTGCAGAGCAGGAGTGCACTCAAAAGACTCAGCTAAACTGTTGAAGATCACTCTGCTGTCAGAGCCATTAGCTGGAGACATGTGCAGAATTAACAGCACCAAGAAATGCTCAGGAACAGCTTCCCCTGCCCAGATAAAGTTCCCCTGCAGATCCAAGCCTTTCCGAAAGAAAAAAACTTCCTCATGCAGATGGACATATTAGCCCAGTGTCCCCAAGGGCTGAAGAAGTGTGTGTGTTTGTGATAATCAAACCACAATAGAGAAAGAATTTTATAGATAATGGCATAGCCAAAAAATAAAAACCCAGTTCTGGCAACAAGGAGAAATCAGACACAAGATCTGGTTCAAGCAGTATACTGTGACGAAGAGGGAAAGGAGAGGCAGCGCCAAGTACACCAAAATGAGTGACAAAGATGGTAACAGCTTTGTCAAAACCTTCAAGGAAAAGGTGCTGAAGAAGGGAGAAAGAGACATAGTTCAGTTCTGGTCAAGTGATAGTTCAGAAAGAAATGCACTCTTGATGATTATGACAGGAAAGTTTGACCTCCTAAACAACAGACTGCTGGGTGAAATACTGTACCTTCTCTACTCAGCTGTCTCTCAGCTATGAGTCCTTTTGAATTTTCTGTTTTGAAGAAGAATACTGTGCTGAAATCCAAAGGCTGCAAGCTCCAGGCACTCCACTCTGTCCTCTTCCCACTTACTGTTAGGATGTTCTAACCAATTCTGAATACAAATCTGCTTGTTTCAACCTCAAACCACTTAGTTGCTTTCTTTGCTTTCCTGCTAAATTAAAGCACCATCTACTGTCAGTAGTCCCTTCCACATCTGCATGAGATCCACTTACTGACAAAGCACTGTGTATAAACATTTGCCTCTCACAGGACAGACTGGTGAGCATGAGCTGCTGCACATGAGATAAAAGAACCAGTTCCACCAGCCAAAGCTGTTCCAGCAGCTTCATAGTCCTGTTCCCACACAGGACTCAGACTGATCAAAACCCACTCCTAATCTTATATTGACCATACAAACTGGAGTGAGTTCATCACATCTTGCACAGTATGACAGCTCTTCTAGGTCTTGAGTCACACTGGCAGTACCTCCCTGAACAATTCTCAACTTCTCCCCAGATCTCCAAAGTAGTGATTCTGGAAGACCAGCACGTGGAGCTAATGCTGCTCAAGGCAGAGTGCCTTTTACACAGAGATTTTCCTTACATCATTCCAATCCTCTTCTTACAGTCATTGGTTTGCAGAATATAATCCTCATCTTGTAAACATCACCTGCATTGTTACCTCTGTGATACCTGATTTTTGATGTGGCTCCAGTGAAGGATGCAACAAAATAGTCAAGACTGACTTGGCCTTCCTGCTTGTTACTTTCCCAGTCTTTAGTTCTGGCAAATTTTCCTAGTGGAATTTCACATTTTCTCCAGACTGGTTTTAGCCCCTGTGAACACCTGCCATCAGGATTACACTAGAAGTGTTACCAAAGGATTAATTCTCAACTCTGACAATAACTTTTTAAAGCTGTGTAACATATCCTATGCCTAAAAAGGACACCTCTAAATGGTGTAGTATAGAATTAGAATACAATGGACTGAGACAAATAACTAATGTGTGCCTCTAAAAGTTTACCTTTATCATTCAAGCTTCTAGGTAATCTAAAAATATATCCTCTATATGGCAAGATTTAATTTCCACAAACCCAAAGCAACACAACATCAGTTATGCTGCCATCCTGCCTCTGTCCTCTGCAGGATTTTTCCTGCAAAACCAAACGAATCAACTTATAGTTACCTCTTTATTATCTCCCATATTTCTTCAGGAATGGCACAACATTTGCTGTTCTATCAAACATTCCAAGAAGGGCTAAAAAGCAAACAGGAATAACAAAAAATTCTTTGTTTAAAACACTCTTCAGTGCTTACTGACTTTAAAAGACATGTAATTGTCATTTAATATCCTTGAAGTTACTAATAAAAAAATCACAAAGTATTTCATTGTTGCTGTAAAATGAGACATCTTTCTATCTTTACCCCCAAAATGAAACAAATACTTAACTGAATGGTTCTGCCTTTACTCATCATAATTGATAGGTTAATCACTTTTACCCAGCCTCATGTCTGAACCACTCTTCTACCCTCATGATTCTGACATATTTAAATGCATTCTCCTTTTTCCTTAAGTCTGCAGATAAGATTTTTCATTAGTAACTTTCTGACCCTAAGGTCTCATCTTTGATCTTCTAACAGCTTAAATTTCTTTCAAATGTATTCTGTCTACTGATTGTGCCTGAGCATGGGAAACCTGCACAGTCACTGCTGGCTCCAGGCAAGTTTCTAGGTGAAGAAATACACAGTGCAAGCAGCATCAGTTACAGCTCAATTGTTTCTCCACAAAGAAGTGTGCAAACACCTTTGTGCTTGTTTACACAGTATGTCAAAGCCCTGTTTCTTTTCCAGAAGAGCTCAAGGACTGAACACACCAGACACAGCCCATGTTTCAGTTTGCTACCAGGGTGGTATGAAGGACGGTCATGGACTTCCCACCACAGATACTCCCTAAAGCCCTAAGCTGGGAGCTGCAGCCAGATGTACAGACTCTTGACACAGATCCTCCAGGGTTCAGTTCATCTACACGAAAAGCAGGATTCATGCAGATTTTCTTGAACAATATAGAACTGTAAACACATGTATGCGTTGTAGTGATTCCTATTTCCTCTTCTCTCTTATCAAAGTGCTTTAGGGATTTGTCAGGGGAGAAAAACCACAAAGCCTTTCTTTACGCAACTTTGGATCTGAAGGCTTTGAGGAAAGATATAACAGAATAATTAAGAAAAACATCTTTAGGGTAACTGATGCTTAAGGAGGCTTAACATATTCTGGTTTGATCTAGCTGCTGTTACTTAAATGGGTGCTATCAACCTGAACCAGAGGGACATACACACCTCTCTTCTATTAAATCCCTTCCTCACCTGTTCAGGTAATATAGTGCATTAGTAAAGACTGTGATAGCTATAAGCTCAAACTCTCAGCTTTCTTTCATTACTAGCTGGAGGCAATACAAAAAAAAATAGTCAGGTTTTTATAATTATGTCTTTTCATAAGAAATTTACATGTCATCACCACGGAGATGTAACCCAAAAATTCACTGAAGTCCAGCCAGCAGATGGGCTGTGCAATTAAAAGCCAAGCCCTGATCCATTTGCAGAATGAGGGTCAGGCCACTGGAAGAGCCACTAAATCAAGCAGTGAAAATGCCAGCAATATAAGTGGGCCTGGAAGAGCCAATGGAGGGCAAGAAGTTTCAAAGATGGGGCCCATTGACATCTGTGAAAGGGAGAAAGATATGCCAACTCATAAGGAAGAGGTCAATGGTTCTAAAGAAAGTCCCCTGGATCTCCAAACTTTTCCAGACAAGCTCAGGGGTGAGCTGTAACTACCCTTCCTAACATGACTGCAGCTCTACCTACCCCTGTCCTGGAGCAGGAGCAGGTTACTATTCAACACAACGGTGCTGTAATAAGGAGTCATGAAGAAAGAAGGGTACCAGGTACACTGTGAACAGGTGTGAACCACAGCCTTTGTTCACATGCCCTCCAGCTGCTGCTAGCTATAACACAATGGAGGGATTAGTTGAAGTGAGCTGGCAAAGCTGTGGGATGATGAAAAGTGCACGCATACCCGGAAGGATCACGTTTGCCTCGTTTCAGCACCATGTCAGTACATTGTGTCAGGAAAGGTGCATCAGGATGCCCTTTAGCACAGGAATAATCAAACAAACAAGTTAATTTCCAGGGCTTATGAGAGGCAAGTGAATGCAACTTCTCAAGGACCAGCTTTGTGAAGAAGGGCAGAAATAGAGAAGCTTGGGTAGGAACAAGACCAAAGGCTTGGTGTAGAGCTCCTTCACCACACAACTCTAATCCTCTCTGCTTCCTATGCTCTCACGAACTGCTCTGACCTCACCTTTCCTGCCTCTCCCACCCTTCCCCTGGGAAAGCTGCCTTCAGTGTATAGTTACATGAACACTTATCCAATGGGCTGGGCAGTGCTCACCCTCCCCACCCATCCCAGCCTCTGCCTCTCCTGCTGCCATTTCAGCTCTGTGCCCACACAACTCTTCAGTGGGAGGGGAGCTCTGGAAATGAAGTCACTTGAATGACCTGGGTTGAGAGTAAAACTTGCAAACTGGAATCATCCCACTGATCCACGTTAAAGTCCCTTTTCAAACAATAGCAGCAGCACAAGGAGAAGGGCAGCAGCAGTAGCAAATATGGTTTCTTAGACTGGTTTTGCCAACAGAGAAAATATTGGTGTAACCCTATTCTGAAAAGATGGTGAACCTGGAGCCTTTTTCATGCTTCTAGAATCAGCCCACTAGACTTCTGAGAGTCTACAAGTGGAATGGCTCACAAGATCTCCCAAGCCCAACCCCTTGTACTTCACAGACTTGAGTTGTGTCTCTAATCCTTCCACAATAAGACATGTTCTCAGTCCTTTATCATAGAACCAAGAATGGTTTGGGTTGGAAGCGACCTCTCAAGGTCCCCTAAATCAGGCTTTCTCCAGTTGCTTCAAGGTGTTGAGCAAAGTGAAGAGGTCTGGACTTTCTCCTTAACCAGTGAGCAGGGAGGGAGTAGCTAAACTCAAGGTTCTGCCTCTGGCACACTGGTGCTGCCATGGAGGGGAATTGTTCAGATCTGCTTGGAGCTTGAGACAAGATGAGAAAGGAGCTAACCTTCCCCCACCAATCTTCATCAACTTTTTAGGAATCCAAAATGACAGATACCCATTGCTGCCAGCACTGGAATTCCATGATGACCACAGCTCAGGAACATTTCTGGAACGATACCCAAGTCTTCATCTGTGCCCTACTCACCAAGCTGTTTAACCAGAGCAGCACTATGGCAGCCTTAACACCTCCTACAGTTCCCAAGCTCTTTCTCCTACTAACTCCTCTGTTGTAACTCCACCCATCTCCTCCTTTAGGCTCTCACTTTGTAGCTTGCCATCCCCAAGCCTTCTTGAGTCCCTTTCTCCCATATACACTTCTATTTTTATCCTTCCTAAGACCTGCTCACTTGGAAGGCCTTTGGGAGCTATTTGATTGTGACACAACCAACATCCACGGATACAGATTTATCACAATTCCCAAGGAAACAGTACTTCCACAAGATATCTGTGTGTTTATACACCACCAAACCTTGCTACTGCAATACCACAGAAACAGATGTCTAGACTGTTCCTGAGGTCTCATTTGCACTTGGTATCTCAGGGATTTTGCATACATTTCACATGTATTGAATGTTAGACCTTTCTTCTCTCTGCACCAAACACCTTATAAAGAACACAAACCAAAGTGAGCAGATCATGCTAGAGTAGTAATGTTTCAGAATCTCCTGTGAAATTACTTTTCAAAGGCCTGAAACTTTCTACTCCTCACAAAAGAGGTGAGCAGCAAGAGTCACAATTACATTAACCTTCGCTGCAAGAATCTTCCACCTACCCTCTGTCATTAACACTAATTTCATATGAGCAGCCTTCTGAAAGAGTATATATGTAGATTTTTCAACAGATTAAAATCTTAATTCTCCAACCAGAATTGAGATAAACCCCAGATGGATGAGACTCAGTTGTGTGAAAAATCTCTAAGAAGGTCATTTGTAAAATGGTTTTACCTTCTGGACATAATTTCTCAAATTAACCCAAAGTCTGAGGCCTAACCCTATCTGGCACTGCTGTGAGGCAAGGCAAACTTCAAAGAAACCTAAATTAACACACAGACTGCAAAACTAAGAATAAGCTTTCACACAGAGAGTAACTTCCAACTACAGCACGCAAGCTCTACAATCAGCATGGGAGATGTGAAAACCTACGGAAAGGCTGGAAAAGCGTATGAACTTTGTTATGAAAAGTGGGCAGAAGGGGAGCTGGGCCAGGAAATAAAACCCATGTGTTTAGAAAGCAGGAACTGTGTTGGCAGCCTGGGTCAAGTACCACTGGAAAGAAGTATTACCAGCACTTTGAAAAGAGCTCATGTCCCAGAGTAAAACCCTCTGACAGCTTCTGAAAAAAACTACCCCTAATCCTGGAGGTGGCACTAAATCAAACCTGCAAGATAAGTGAAAGGAATGACAGAAAACCAGGGACAGGAACAACTAAAGCACCATCATTAGGAAGTTGATTGTAAGCATGCCAGTGAGTTTCAGAAACAACCTCTACGACAGAAGTGAAGAATCAAAGGAACTTCTTCTAAAGGCATCAATTCAAATACCACAGGACCAGGAGACTGCTATCCTGTTCATCCTAGCACAGCCTTGGCCAATACAACCAATATTCCTGCTTTGAGAGTGAGGTATTAGTGAAAAACATTGTTAAAATAAACCAGTCCCTTCTTTCCTTCTAAAGTTTCTTGTGATCCTGCTGCTTTGTCAGAAAGGCTGGAAAAGAGGAAAGTGTTTATTGAAAACCTGCTATTTACTTATTTGAAAACAGGACAAGAGGATATCTTGCAACAACATATTAAACAAAAGATTAGGAAATAGTCAAAAACTAAATACTTTTTTTCTATTTATGTCTGACTTAACAGAGGTCTCCAGACTCTACAGATTTACTATAAAGAGGGCTCAGTTTTCAGCTCCTGATATACTCATCCACATCCAAATGTATTGCCAACAATTTCTGCCAAAAAATGTCTAACAAAATTTATTTAGGACATATGGAAAAGAATCACTTCTACTCCTGTTCTGAAGGTCTCATCTTACCTGTCAAGAGCTGGAGTTAGACGATAATCTTTGGTTGCTGACAGGATGGCTTTGATTAGATTATCTGGGGAGAGAGGAAGAAGACATTAGGAACAAGTTCTCACTTCTAACGGAAATGAGAAACAATGTGGTGTAAAGCATCTGAAGCACTTACTTGAAGGACCTGAAAGGTTCTTATTAGGAATGAACACTAAGTTGAATGTTTTCTCTGGACAATGACCTTCACACACAGCCCACAAAGACATGTTATGTGCCAAATTCTGATGCAGTGTGTAATTGCCTAGCATGGAGAGTGTCACAGGGAACAAGCACCGTACATTTTATAACAGTGATTTCATATCCACTGCCCTGAGATGGCAGTTTCACAAACATTTCAGACGTGAAAAGGCAAGCATCACTGTCACTGCTTGCTTTCAGAAAAGCTTTTATGCAGCTGAGTGGTGAACTGGATGCAGGAACAGAACCAGGTTAAAACAGACGCTTTTTATTCTGCAGGTTACTTTCAGTTTAGGTTCCTCAGCCTGTCTTTCTTCAATTAAAGCACCATAACTGCATAACGAAATGCCCATGGAACCACAGTCTGCACTGATACCCTGTGAATGCTGCAGCAACCAGATGATATAAGTTATGCAAGCATAGGCATACACACAAATTTATTGCATTAAGCTGCAGAGGCACAATGATTACATATAAATCTATCAGCTGTGGAAACTCTGGAGTCTGCTTGCCTCTAGATTTTGTCATTTGTCCCTAATTTTTCCACCTTTCTCCCCCAGCAAGGTCCAAACTCCTTTACCATGGCCCAAATAGGGCCAAGAAGCATCAAGGCTCTGGCTAGTCTGTATTTACAAAGGTACCAGTAATTCAGAATGTCTGTACTGGGTTTGACAAAAAGTCCATCTGCTTCCAAATCCTGACTCTAACTGTGGTCTTAAGCAGGTACCTAAGAGGAGAACAAAACCAAAACCAACAAATATATTTCCCTGAAATTCTCTTCTGCTGTTCAAGTGTTTCCAATTCAGGGATTTCATATGTCAGATATAGCTTCTTTGTATCTGGTAACCTGCAATGACTTCTAGTCCATGAGCTCAGAATCCTCCTCGATCCACATGGACATTCCATCACTTCCCTTTCCCAATTTTGAATATGGCTTCTCTGAGCTTCATTTATACTGGAAAAAATTGTGAACATTTAGTCCCCTTCCATCTTTGCTTGGGAGATTGCAAATAACTCTAATAACCTTAAATATATGAGTCAACTTGTTCAGAAGTTCTTAGGAAACACCAGTCAAAACGAACAAATAAGTCTCATTTCTTTACAAAAGACTAAAAATGGTACAGAAACATTAAGAAAACTGACAACAAGTGATTTTCCACCTCAAATTTAAACAGCTTTCCTGACAAACACTGATCACTGCAATAGGCACAGTTAGGGGAGACCCTTTCACATAAAGAATTCTGTTCTTCTCCACTGCATCCTTCCTCAGCAGCAACAGGACAAATGTGTGGGATAAACACAGGAGCTCAAGGCAGCCCAAGTGCCAAAGAACTTTGAATGTGACAACAAGCTGGCCAGACACACAAAGGTGATAAACAGCAACTCTGACAATTACTTTGAGATTTGGGGAAGTTTTTGACATGCCAGCAGTGACAGCACCTGCCAACCATTACAAGCTGGGGAGTGTGATTACTTTCAGAACATTGTAGTTTAGAGTTGAGTATGGGACGAGGCAATTTATAAGGGTAAAAGCAACTTTGATAACAAAATAGTGGTGTTGTTTAATTTTTCTTCATCTGAAGAATTTCTTCTGAATGCTATTTCTTTAAATCTGCTGTAACAGCAGTAGGTTGCTGTGACCTCTAATGGCACCATGCCGCAGTCCTCTCCTTGGCCTGCTTCACACCTTGGCTTTTTCTGAACAGCATACTTTACTGATGTTGTTTTCCCACGTTCCCAAAGAAGAGATCAAAGGATTGCATGTCAAGGGCTCCAACCTCCCATCTACCAAGCTTTTGTTGTGCCAGGTTTGCTCTACCACCCACAAGTTACACCCTGCACTACTTGGAGACCATCCGATGGACTATTTTAGAAAGAGCATCAAAAGAATACAATTGAGTGATGCACTCAAATTATTCTGGTTTACTCATCTTGTCAGATAATTAGCAATGCTTTAGTGAATGCTCAGGAATGAAATAAAACTTCTTTAGGAGTGGATATGGCAGCATTTGGAATGGAGGTGCTTCCCAAACAAAAGAAACAACAATTTTGAGCATTCAGTACAGATTATGAACAGACAAGCAGGAGATAGCTCTTCAGCAGCCCAACAATACATGGCATCCAAAAGGTTTGGAAGTTGCACAAATCTCAGTGTTACTATTCAAAACTGCTGAATGAAGCTCATTCAATAAAACACAAAGTACTTTGCTGTCAAGGGTTCACCCACAGCAGGAATGAAGGTGGCACCAGGTTCATCTGGTCTAGCCCTCTTCTTGGAAGCTAGGAGCAGGAGCTACAAGCCAGGAAAAGCTAATGGCTGGGGCAGGGGACAGGCAGTAGATATTTCTGGTTGAGCTGGAGCTGTACAACACTGTTGCTCACATGAGCATCTGCACTTGCACCTTAACACTGGCCCTAGGATGGAAAGACAAAGCCTTCTCCAGGAGTTTCTGTACTTACTGTATTTTCCTGGGGAGAGGTTTGAAGGATCACCAGATGCTGCTGTGGCTGATCTGCAGCCTTGGACAAGCAGTAAGGAACAGTAAGGAGTCACTGGCAGGATCTTTTAATACAGCTAGGGCAAGCAAAGACTATGATCACAGATATCAGTGACCTGCACGACACAAAGCAGGGCTACCTCCAGGCTGTGAGTAAAGAAAATTTGGCACCAGGAAATCAGGTGCATTTTGTAAAGTTAATTGATGAGATGCTCTCTCCAGGGTAAGAAACTGAAGGGGTGATGAGCACACTCTGCCTTACACACCTATGTACTGAGGGATAATAACGGTGCAAGTACACCTAACAAATACTACAAAGAAAAATTCCTTCCTGGTTTAAGTAACAGGATTTGTGCACAGCTGCTGCCTGGAAGTCAAGGAGTGAAAGAAGTTTTGCAAGGACAAAAGAAAGGCCAAGTTGTCTAGATGAACACATCAGGAGGGCAAGCAATCTACTGCAGTTTCCTGCAGCCATAGCCTGTTTATTGTATTTTTTTTTCTTGTCATGGACAATTTAGATCATTGGGGAGAGTGGGAGATTATTTAACCCATTCATCTATCAACCACTATGCATGCACTCTTACTATAAAAACAAAGCAAGAAGCCTCTGCACATTTTTCTCCCATCTAGAGGAGGAGCTGACTACATTTATCTAAGAATCCTGAGTTATCTTGACATATTCTATCAACTTTGCCTTATAACATCAGAAGATTCAAAAGCCAGCTCGGTACTGCACGATTTCTCTGAACCCAAGTACATCTTGACTTCAGGTTGACCCTGAAATTTTCAGACATTTGGAAAAACTAAATAGTTAGAAATTAGGCAGACAGTGACCACACAGTGAGAACCAGCCTAAGTCTCAATTCTAGCCTTTTTCTCTGTTATTTATGTGAAGGAGTGGAGGAGACCTTCACTGTAAATGTCAACAACACTTAAAATTGTTGTTTCTAATGCAGAAACTTCTTGCTTGTATCACCAAAAAAAGATGGGAGGCCTTTTCAGTCCACAGGGCTTTCTGAAGGCATCTCACAGGGTCTACCTTCTGCCTGCCTTGAAAGTAGGCAAATTGGGATGTTTGTGCACTCTCAAGTGGCCAAGAGAAGAGGCCATAATTTTTCAAGTTGTCTGTACCAGCCACTTTCCTCAAACCCCAGGAAGCCTACACGTCCCTACTGCCAGCAGTGAGTGTGTGAACACCCTGCCTCAGGGTCAGGAACAGCGTGCTGCTGCAGGGCTGTGCGCTTGCCCTGGGAGCTGTGGCCAGTGCCCATCTCCACAGGTGGTCACCCAGCTGCCAGCCCTCCAGCCAGCACTTCTGCAGGTCCCTGGGCATCAGCTCCAGCTTTTGGGAATGGACTGACTCGAGTGAGGTTGGTTGTCATTCTGTGAAGCCTGCCAGGAGGCTCTGCACATGGGTCCCTGTCCCACGATAACAGAATGCCACGTGTGTGTCAGCTTTGTGGGGAGAGTAAACTAAACACTACCAATGCTATGGATTAAACAAATCACAGTATTTACAAACAAGTCCTTAGCACAGGCCAGTGCAGACGCTTGTTTCGATACACCCCCCAAAAGTTCAGCTTTGTATAAAATTCCTCCTTCAGCATTTTTTTACCTTAAGGTCTTGCTCCATATGGGAGCTGAGAAATGACCTTTAACAGCAAAATTTTTACATCTTTTGAGGAATGATCTTTACAGTAGGTCAAGGGAGGTGATTCTTCTACTCAACCCTAGTAAGGTGGCACCTGGAGTTCTGTGTCCAGTTCTGGGCTCCTCAGGACAGAAAATGTGGAACTCCTGGACCGAGTCCAGTGGAGGGCAACAAAGATGGTGAAGGGACTGGAGCATCTCTCTTATGAGGAAACGCTGAGGGAGCTGGGCCTGTTCAGCCTCGAGAAGAGACAACTGAGAGGAAACCTCATCAATGTCTGTCAGTCTCTGCTGAAAGGAGGTGTCAGAGGATGAACTGGGCTCTGCTCAGTGGTACCAAGCAATGGTACAAGAGGAAACAGGCAGAAACCGATTCCCAGGAAGTTCCACTCGAACATAAGAAAAAACTTCTTCACTGTGCAGGTGACTGAGCACTGGGACAGGCTGTCCAGAGAGGGTGTGGGACCTCCCTCACTGAGGACATCCCAGAACCGTCTGGATGCAATCCTGTGCAATGTGATTTGAGGTGAAGCTGCTTGAGCAGGGAGGTTGGACCAGATGACCCAGTGTGGTCCCTTCCAACCTGACTCATTCTGTGATTTGCCCAGCACGAGGCCATAGACCCAAGTCTCATCACATGTTTTATTCTCTCTTCCAGAAACACCATTTCCAGCTGTCGACACTCATTATTATTCGTACC